ATGCATATAAACTGTTCTACAGTATAGGAAAAAATGGGCTCTCAACTTACTCTACAAAACAACATACCCCTGATTCTAAAACCAGACAAAAGGCATTATGAATACAGAATAGAATACATCTGTCTTACCTACAAATCTGCAAAAACAATAATGAAATGCTGACAAACCCAATTCCATGAAGTATAATAAAAAGTTAAAATTCAAAAATCATGTTATGTTTAGACCAAATATTTAAGAACGTCTAATATTTGAAAAAAATCTATCAATGTACTTCTTCGTCATTATCAGAGTAAAGGCGACAACGTTTTTATAAAATTCAAAATAAATTTATGATTTATAATAAACTTATTAGACCTTTAAGAAAATAATCCTTAGAATGATAAAATGTGTTTCAAAAATAAATATGCCCAAATCAAAAACCACACAAATATAACTATCATGTGCATTCAGTGTTGGATTTTACGATAATGGATTTGTAGATGGAAAAAAATCAATGAGAACTACAATTTTAAGTGATAAAAATGTCTTTTATGTTATTAAGCTCTCAAAGATACTGCAGAAAAATTAGTAGAAATCATTTGAATTTATAAGGTGACTAGATATATAATAAATATTTTAATTTCATTTATATTCATCACTAACAAACACTGGACTTGATTAAATAAGAATATATTATTTACAATAATATGAAAGAATATCAAGTATTTAGGAAGAAATCTAATAAAATATGTCTAAGATCTTTATGAGGAAAATTTAAAAACTTTAAAAAATTGGTATCATTTTTATAGTTGTAGAGTTGCATATTCATGGAGAGTAGGCTTCATATTTAAAAGATTTATATTATCACAAACTACTCAGCAAATTTAGTGACTTCAATCAAAATCTTTAGAAAGGATTTCATGAAAATTAATGGCCTATTTGAAAAAAATCTATATAAAAATGTTTTGAAAGCCAAGAATAATGAAGCTATGTCAACAGAGTAAAAATAGATTGCTTACTCTAACAAACATAACACTTTATATGAAGCTCCAGACAGTATGTATCTCTACTATAAGATTAAATTACTAAATAAATAAAAATAGAGTATAGAAAGGACTCATATGTATATGAAACTTGACATAGGATAGACGAGTCATAGCAGGAAAATGGATAAAGGAGGGACTCATCAATAAACAGAGCTGGAAAAAATAGTTATCAATATGAGGAAGACTGAAAATTAATTTTCTATTGTACATCTTACATAAAAGTTAACATTATATAAATGAAGATTTTAATGACAAAAGGAAAGTGTATAAAGTTTTGTCATCTTGTAGTATTATTAGTAAGTAGCCAGTTATTATTTGGTAAATTCAAATAAATTAAGAATACTCATTCACCAAGAAAGTAAAATACTCATTCACTGAGAAAGTAAAAATGTATTAAAATTAGAAGATATTCTCACATATAATAAATTAACACTAAAATATTACACTCATAAATATATCATACAAATGAAGAAATATGTCAAGTAGGCGACATGTCATGAGCATGTCATGAGCATGTTTTCATACATGCTCATGTATGAAAATGAGCAAAATATATGCATTGATTTTCATCAAAGAGAAAATACATGGCTAATAGACATATGAAGTGATGTTCAACCTGCATAGCTATCAATGAATGCAAACCAAGGCCAAAATTAAGCATTATTTTAGCTCATTTAAGTTGCAAAAGTCAGGAAGTCTGATAATAACAAGTGTCAGAGAGAACACATATTTAGATTTTTGCATATATATTGCTGGTGGTCATATAATTAGTACAATTCTTTTAAAAAAACAACAACATACTTCATATTCTAGCTATTTCAGCTCTTCAGTATTGTATTGTCAAGAAAAGCTCCCGGGTACACCAGGAAACATGAATAAGAATATTTATCGCCACATTATTTGTATTAAAAAAGCCCTGAAAACAATTCAAAAATGCATTGGGAGTAGGGAAATAAATCAGAGTATATTAATATCATGAGATTTTACTATAGTATTCAAAGTGTATAAACTACTACAAGATGAAATAATATGAACAAATCTTAACATTATAATTCTCTGTTAAAAATTCTATAAATACCAAGATCCCCTTTTATAAAGCTAAAATAATCAAACAAATATACTTTTTAAAGGAGTGTATATAGACATTTTCAACTCAATAAGTAAGAAACCATCAACACAATATTTAAGTTAGTCTTTGCCTCCAATGAGAAGAAGTAGAAGCCAGGAAAGCGCAGAGACCAACATGGGTAAATACGTTATTACGGGGCTTTAGTTTGTGTGGTTTCATGGATGTTCATTATGTCATCACAAATACATGAATACATAAATAAATGAATGAGTATATGAATCAATGCATGAATGAAGATAGCTAGTGTAGTAGACTAGTGATAAAAGTCTGTCTTGAATCAATACTCTACCACTGGTGTCCAAAGGTAGAAAAAAGTAAATGGAAAAGAGTGTACAAGAAGCTTTGTTTTATCTGCTTTCTTCTACTTCAAAAATAACCAGGGTGCATTTAATTAAATAGATTTCAAAACATGTATTAAAGCCAGAGTTTTGAAACTAAGGTAATACTCAGCTACAAAAACAGAAAGAAAGAGGAGTAAGGAAGATAAGGGAGAAGAAAGAAATAGTATCATCATCCATGCAACAGGTTATTGAATGCAGAAATGCTTATTAATCAATCCTTTATGTTATTCAGGACAAATATATTGAGTACTTGTTATGTTTGAGGCAGAAAACTTAAGTTTTCATGTCGCTTACTTGACATTTTGAGGAGAGGAATGATATATTTAATATATACGTAAAAATACTGTTCTGCTTACTACGTATATGTGCATATACATAGTTGTAGGCATGTAACAGTATTATTTTGCCTGACTCTACACAAATGGATGTCCCTTAAAGGTTTCCAGGTTCTAACATCTAAAAGCTGGGACTGTATTAGGTAACAGGACAAGGGAAATTAAGCCTGCTAATGGAATTAAGATTGCTAACCGGATGAGCTTAAAACAGAGAGATCAATCAACTGGGCTTATGTAAGGGAAACCAATGTAATCATGAGGCTTCTCTAAATGTGGAAGAGGTGGCAGGACAGTCAGTGTTGATGACACACAACCTGAGAAGTACTTGACCAGCATTGATTACTTTAAATATAAAAGGAGGCCATGATCCCAGAAGGTAGCCTGTACAAGATGGAGGGGACAAGAAAATAGATTGTCCTCAGAATTTCTAAAAAAACCCCAGCCTTGCCATCAAGCCAAGTTTAGCCTGCTGAGACCCATTTCGGACTTCTGAACTTGAGAATGGGAGAATAATAGGTTTATGTTGTTTTAAGTCATCAAGCACATGTATGTGTACATGCACACAACTGCAAGCATGTGTGTTTGGGGTGTCGGTGTCAGCTAGTGACGGAAGCTATGACAAAACCAAGGTGGTTAAAGGGTCATGGGTAGGGCTATTTTATATGGGATGGTCAGAGATGAATTGATGTTTAAAGAGATGTAAGTGAGATCGGATCCCTTTAGCACAAGATATTTGGAAGAACGTTTTGGAAGAGCCACCAGCAAATCCAAAGTATCCCCCTCCCAGTCAGACGTGAGCTTGGCATATCCAAGGAACAAAAAAGACCAATGTGGCTGTAGGAAAGTGAGCCAGAAGGAAGACTGTGGGGTACAGTGCTGTGGATACATTTGGAGGCATTTAGCCTGGGAGTAGGAATGACAGCAGAAAAGGAGAACTTCTATTTTTGCCCTCTTTATTATTTATGTGTTTGAGAAATAATGTGTTACTATGTTCAGTTAAAAAATATTACGATACAAGGGTATAAATAACTGGAAGAGTAAAAATAACAAGTGTGAAGGAGAATATAGCACATACTGGAAGGTTCTCCAGATCATAGTTGATACAATACAAAAACAGAAAAATGACCTAGAAAGAATCAAAGGATGTTGTTACTTTAATGTGTTCATTATCTGTTTTCAGTTTATTTTTTGTGGTCCTGGTAACTGAACCAAGGGCCTCTGTATTGAGATATGGAGCCCCTTTTTAAAAATTTTATAGACAGAATTTCACTAAGTCAGCATTTACCCCTGGAAATCGAATGTAATTCAATTGCATTACCCGGAATCTACTCCTGTGACTGTCATTCTGCTTAAACACTATTCAAATATTTCATCAGGACAGACTTTATCAGGAGTTTCTAAAAGCAAACGGACCTTGTGTTCCCCAAACAAAGTTCATAAGGACTTTATATGGCATAACTCCAATTGAGTATAATTTCTGCAGTCCTTATTCAGCTAGTTAAAAACACAATGTCAACTAAGTGAAAAATTTAGAAAGTAAAAGGTGTCTGTAACTGATTTCTTAATTTCCTTGAGTCTTTCTTCATGGAATTTAAAGGCATTGTACTAGATTCAAAAGTTTTCAATTTATAAGGTAGTCCACTTCAGGCAAATTTCTTAACTTTCCTGAGTCCTGCTCAACAAAGTCTTTAGGCCGTGTCTTTTCATTTTTGCAGATTTCTTTCTTTGTTACTTTCTTTCTATATTACTTAAGTTCTCACTAAGAAAAGAACATTTAAATAGGTCAACATTGCAAAATGATTCACAAGGCATTAATCTTCTAGGGTTAGAGACTACTTCTAAGAATATTTTTGCGTACTATGTATTACAACAAAAATATCCTTTTATTTTAATCACATTTCCATCAAGAACCAAAGAAAAGTAATCAAAATATTTCTAATTTTTCCATATTAATGAACACCAAGCCATCAGAAAAACCATCAAAGAAAGACCTTAATCAGATGTAATGACATTTAAATCAAGATATAGATCATTTTGCTAATATTTGAATTTATGCTTCAATTGAAAATTCTGATTTGAAATATGTTGTTTTTAACAAATGACTGCTTTTTGTGTCAGTTAAAGTCTCCCATTCACTTATTTTATCTTGGAACCATGACAGGCATCCTACCTTGAGGGGATCACAGCATCTATCTTTCCTTTTCTCTGAAGATTGTGTCTCTGTTGTTTTATTCAAGTGCTGATATTCCTCCATGATTGAAGTATAGATACAGTATTCTCAGTTGTAGGTGGTTGATTTGAATTGTTCACCTACGCAGGCAGAAAAATATATAACTTATTTCACTTTAACAATATGCAATTTGTTAATATCTAAGGTTAATATCAACCAATCAGTCAATCCCTAATATTTTATCTTAGCCTGCTATGTCTCCACCACTGCGCTAGGTAAATGCTGGACAAAGACAGACAACCACACATTGTTCTAGTGTTAGGGAGATGATAATTTAATAAGGGATGAACTTATGGAAAGAAATTTGAAACGAGAAGTAAATTTGATGATATAGGATCATATTCTATATGAACACAGACTTTAAATTACAGAAATTAAGATTTTATATTTTCTACACATCTAAATTATAGGATTTATAGAAGCCAATGTGTGCTTTATTTATCTTTATAGCTTTACAAAGCACTCCACGGTGGCTTACACATAATAAATGTTGAAAATGAAGAGAAAATGTCATGAAATGAATTGGAACTAGATGGCCTAAGATGGTTTCACAGAACCAGACTCACAATGCAGGACAGAATTCAGAGATGTTTAAGAGCACAAAGTGTACTCCAAGTACCTCTCAGACAGACTGACCATGAGTGACTTTTCACCATTCTGATCATGTTTTAATTTTGTTCATTTATTTTTTAAAGAAAATATGTGCATACAGTTGAAAAGACAAAAGATAAACACAAGAGTTCTTCAGCTTGTCCCCTCATTCCAAAATATGATATGCATTTTAAAATATAAATATTTTTTTCTTTGTGATACAACTTATGGCACATTATTAACTCAGTCCTCTAACTTTTTAACCTGCGGAACACACTCAACTTTATACTAATAAAGGGCCTCTTTATTTTTCTTATTCCATCACGAAGTATTGTCTATAATATATATAACTAGAACCATGTTACCAAGAGGGTCTATGAGAGAAATTATGATTTGAGAGATATTAAGCCCCTCTTCTAAAGATTAGTAAAATATTCAACTTCTTCTGTTAACTCACTCCTTTATGGATAATGTAATTTTCTCTGAGGTTTAGAAAATGTATTCGTATTCACATATATGTGTGCAATATATATTTATGTATTTTGTAAATCTACATAGAAGCACAAATATATAATTCTAGTAACATTGTAATTATGTGTTTAATATACTACATGTACAGTTGATCCTCACTACTTGTGGTAGTTATATTCTATAGTTTCTGAATTAGCAAATACTGAACCACTGTTCCAAGGGAAAATGTAGGTTTAGGAGATGTGGCACGTGGGCTCCCGTGCTTCGCGTGCACTGAAGAAGGGCCCCTGGGTGATCACTGGGAAAGGCCTTAGAGACGAGGATGTGGGGCCTAGCACCTGTGCCTCCTCCGTGGCTGACGCTGTCGGTTTTGGCAGGTGTTGGTCGCTTTTCCTTTTGGAGGTTGGCAGCAGCGATGTGGAAGGACTTGGGGGCCGTTCCCCACCGTGGCAGGAGTGCTGCCCAAAGCTGTTGCTGTATGAGAGTCCCAGGGAATCTACGTCCCCAAAGTCTACGTACGGCCTATTTGCCAAGGGTTCCATATTCAGCCCGACAGTGGCTGCAACCTTGGTACAAATGCGGCGGTTGGGGCAAAATGGACATCGCCACGTAATCACGGAGTGAGATCCCTGTCATGGAATTCTGACTAAGGCCTTACTAAAAACTGGTGCCTCAGTGACTGCGCTTGAAAGTAACAGAAGGTTTATTCCACATGTGAAGTCCTTAGGGGGAAAGCTAAATGGAAAACTGCAAGTGGTCCATTGTGACTTCTTTAAAATGGATCCTGACAATCATAATACCCGCTGTGCTTTCACAAGAGCTTTTTCTGAGTTCGGGAATAAAAGCAAATTCTTTGTCAGAAGATATTCCATTTAAAGTAGTTGGAATATTCCCTCAGAAAAATGAAGTGAACCCACTTTGGAAACTTTTACAGGATGTGTATACCTGTTCTTCTATATATAGATATGGCTGAGTACAGCTCTTTATGTTTATTAGTGAAAGCTGACATGAGCTCCCTGTTTCGGCATTGGATGGGTACATCGAGAAAGGACAACCAGCTGCTGAGTTCATTGACTCCGTATGATCCAGTGACTATATTGAATGAAGCAAAAATTGAAACTAAAGTGAAATGTGATATCTACCCTCAGGACGATAAGCACCTTTTTGAAACTATAGAACGTTCCAGTGACGATGACAGTAAATGGCTATATGACAGACTCCTAAAAGATATAGAGTGTTAGGGCAATAGACTATCAAGACACTAGCTGAACAGTTTATTTGGAAAAGAGACACAAATGAAAAAAAACTACATTGAAAAGTGGATGTCTTTTCAACAGAAGATAACTTTTTCATCAGACTAGGAAACTCATTTCTGAAGTTGATACTATTGCCACATTGGCTAAAACAATGACTGCTATTTTATTCACAACTGAATAAAAGGAAAACTTCTGTTAATTGTGAGTTAATCAGATTGAATTGGTTTTGTTTTAAATTCCTATCTAACATAATGCCGAGAATGTAGCTTAGTTGTAAAATGTGTGCTTAGTATGTATGCACAAGGCTGTGGAGTCACACGGCACTAAAATTTTTAAAAACTATTATCTACTGTAAACATACTGGCAGTTCATAGCAATTGAACTTTGGTTTACTTTTAAAAATCCTTTTGGCCAACTGTCTTACATAGTATTTAATTTAAATGTTCCCCTTTCACCCTTGATGAAATTTGCACTCCTCCTGTGGGGCAAAAGAGTTTGTATTGTATTAAACTTGAAAAGTAAATTTTAAAAAAAATATAGGTTTAAATTTCTGACAATCTTTGGTTATGACATTTTCATCTATTTATTAATACATAACCTGCGATGTATATTTCTGTTTAAAAACACTTTGCTTAATACATACTGTTTGTTTTACTAACACTGAATTAGTAGCCATGGTACTATAATTTGAATCTAATGAAAGGTTACATAACATATGTATTATTTTTCTGTCAGGCATTGTCACATGAAAGCACACTGTCTGGCTCTGCAGCCCATTTTAAGGAGTGCACTCGAACATACAAAGCCCAAAAAGTACAAACACCATGTCAACAGACACACCATGAAAAGGAAACATTTTTACACAAACTATGTCAACAGACACACCATGAAAAGGAAAATTGTTTTACATTGTGTATATTGACACAGGAGGCTGAGGATTACCTTGTATAACCTCTGCTGAAATCATGATGACTGGAACTTGTAGCTACTGTGTTCATGTATGTCAACTCCCATGAAAGACCAACAGTACTGCTCTCACTGTTACAAACATTTTTTTAGCAAGCAGGCAAATTTGCTAACACAAAATCTCCAAGTGAGGGTCAACTACACAAATGACGTATTAATTACTGGAAAATGATACATTGATTCTCTATATTTTAAAAATTTAAAGAGTATAAATATATAATGCATATTCAATATATAATGGATAGATAACAAAATTAAAAATATTAAAGGAGATTACCACTTATGCATGAGAGTGTATAAAAATGCATGGATAAATCTGTATCTATGTACGACTCAGTGAGCTCCAAATTACTTCATTTTTTGCATGGATGGCTGTACATGGGTATGTTCACTTCCTGGGGGATTCAGGTGAACATAAAATCATTACTTTCACAGTCTCCACTTCCTAAGCAGCCTTTTGATACATTGCCCGCAATTTTTCCCAGGAATATGTCTCCTGGTATCATTTCTCTCAGGATTAATATACCAGGAAATCATTTTTACCATCTTCATCCTATATTTGCAAATCTCTGAATGACTTGCAAGGAGGCTAGTCCTCCTTTACCTTTAGACTCTTTTTATCTTTGGACTGTTCCTTTCTACTAAAGCAAACTTTCTTGAAAGCTTGAAGACTCTTGTTTCACCATTGCTAACATTGTTGATATTTCAGTGGATTAACTTCTAGTTGTTCTGTCTCTCGGCCTCTTGTCTTACCTATCCATATCATATCTACCCTCAGTTTATTTATAAGAGTCCTTGTATCACACACATACACATTCATTCTTCCTATTTGAAGATCTCCATAACCTAAACCCAGCTCTTGTTTTAATTTCATTTTTTAAATACATGCATAAGCATCTGTAGAGATGGGCCCACTGTACCAAGAAGAAAGCTCTCTACCCTCTGGAATGTTTCTCCACAACCTGTGATGCCCTTCTTTCTGTTTTGAGTTTATTGTGCACAAAATCTTGCTTCTTCACTATTCCCCCAGTAAGCCCACTTGAATTAACCTTGCCCACACTGATGTTCCACGGAAGAAAATAGCTATCTGCATGTTACTTTTCTCTATGTTGGCCCTCCTTGACCAGACTACTAGTCTACACTTAGCTCCCATATCTTGGGATAAAATACTCATCTCAGAATTGGAATAGCAGGACAGTTTTTGTTCAGCTGTAGAAAGTAATAAGAAACAACAAAGGACATAGAAAGTGAGAGTATCAGTAAAGGTTGAATGACTATCATACTTTGTGCTTTCCTGTAGCATTTTCAGTATAATTTGGAAGACTTTAACCTCTTTTCCTCTGAACATATTTTTCTTTCTCAGAGTTCAAAATGGTTGACACAGTAGTAAAATTGGGGACACAGCACGTGTGTAAGACCAGGCCACAGGCACTGGGGTCTACCCTGGCAACTCTTCCATGAAGAGAAGTGTACAGTCCTTCCCAGGTTGATTAGGGTGGAGTCTGTGGAGAATCTTACCAGGCTCTACTCACCTGTGTCAAGCTTTCACTATTTCAGGGGTGACAGAAAATCAGTGTCCCCATGTGGCTCGTTGCTAGCATGCACCTGTGCAGCTGAGGAGGAAAACTGCACTTACTAACTTAGACCTTCACAAGGGGCCTCCCTATTCCCACATCATTTTGACAATAACATCTTATAAACATAGTCACTTTCTTCATTTGCAAAAGGAAAGTTATATTTCTGGAGACCTCAGTTTGAGCCAGAAACTGTCCCGGACAGAGGTTTTCTCATTTAATTGGAGAGAAAACTATTCAGAAAATATTTCCTTTCCCCCCCCCTCAACTGAGTCAAATATCATTGTAATCTGGAAAGCAGAGTACCTAAGTAACTTAGGCACACATTCTATTTCCCTGTGCTTAACTACTAACTTCCGCCCTCCATTATTCAGTTAAGAAATAGGGAGTCTACTCTAATAATTCCATAGAGTTGGTGAAACTTACTGTCCTGAAGCACAGCTCAAAAAGGTAACCAGAGGTTCACCTTTTCAGACTTACACCTCTTCTAGACTAGAAAGTAGAAACAGAACTTCAAACTTCATTCTTAAATTATAAGTGTAAGACCTTCTATAAATGAAGACTTCTAAGCCTGAAGCATATCTGTCTCCAGAAGGCATAGATCTTGAGGGAGTAGAACGTGAGTGTAAAGAAGACACAAAGCATAAAATTGATGATATGTATCATGACCTATAAAATATTTTTTCTTTGCAATTTGTAGAAATTTCTTACATAAAAGATATGTTGAAATTAGTGTCAAGAGTTCTTACCTGAACGTTGAATCTGACAACAGCAATAACTCCACCCTCTATCTGTTGTCAAAGCCTGCCTTCGAATAGTTAGATGGCTTCTTAAAAACTCAAACCAGTGATGATTAACCACCATGTTGGGTCATCAGCCCAGGTAAACAGAAGAAAATTATCTAGCTGTTTCTAGTTTACTATAAACTTGCGCAGTTTAACATTTATATTAATAATTTCTCAGAACTTATACATCATTTCATATTAATGTTATTTTTCAAGTCCCTGTTTCTAAAATGGACTAGCATATTTTATTCAATTAAGTGGGTGGTATCCAACTTTTTTTAGCTATATAAATACAAAATATGCAAGCTTTTGAAAACCTCACAAATAAGACAGAATCCAAACTAATTTTTAAAATATGTCTACAGGTTACATTAATATTACAAGATAAAATGCATTCTTTTTGCTTGGGACCTGGATAGGGTTCTAATATGATGTAGATCTGGATGTCCCACCAGGAATAGTAAAATTTCCATTAATTACAATCTGGGTCTGCTAAATGACAAAATCAACACTCTGCATGATAGAAACCTGAAGGAAGCATGGTCACATAGTTCTTTTCAGGGAAGAGCTTGATGTAGTTGTAAGTTTTTTAAATAGGCATAATGTATAATTAAGTCAATAATTCAAATATTTTTGACTTCCTACTATACCACTGTAGTGCTCTGTTTTGGAGGTGAACTAATGTAAATAAGGTAAAAACCCTTCTCTCTCTCTCTCTCTCTCTCTCTCTCTATTGTGTGTGTGTGTGTGTGTGTGTGTGTGTGTGTGTGTGTAGGCAGATAATCAGATAGCTAAAAATACAGATGCATATAAGAAAATATATTGCTTCTTATCACTCCTGCTGTACAATTGTTGGTACAGCTTTATCAAAATACCAATCCAGCCCATACTCTGGATATTCTGATTCAGTAGAACTAAGATACAGTTTTTTTAATAAGTTAACTTTTATGTAGTGCTAGATTTTGAGACCATTATAGAAAAGATGTAGAACATTTTCCATCATTTTTATGGACTTTCATTAGAGTGCAAAGACAGTGTAGGTGTCTCATGCTAAAAGTTTCCACAAAAGTTCATTCCATCCAGGGCACATCTGCTTGTTTCAGACAAGTATATGCACAGAATAAAGAAAACAGTACAAATAAACCGAAAGGCTTTAGAATTCCTGAAGTTGGTAATGATTCAATTTCATAATGTTTTCAGATACCAAAGAGCATTTTCCTCTTGTTTCTTTATTGTTCTTTAGGTAATTTTACAGCTCTTTTTGTATGACTGGTTGAAAAGTACGAGTGGTCAGAGAAAAGACATTGCAACAGGTCTTTCCAAATCAATGTAAGGCTAATAGCCTCGGACCAGTAGAATTGCAAACTTTGCCTAAAGGCCTAATAATATTTACTTCAGAGATAATCACAGATTTGATGAGATAACCTGGTCTCTGAAATCTGATACCTTGATGTCAATTAGTCTCTGCTATTTGCTAGAAGTATGAACTTGATGAACTCTAACCTTTCTGAACTTCAACATCCACAGTTATAAATTGAGGGAAGTTACTTGAGGGAAGGCTATGGCTTATGTAAAGTGTCTTACATTGTACTTATAGATTCAGTACCTAATTAGATTCATTGTATGACATTTGTATATTTTAAATTTTAGACCAGTCAATTCATGTTCAGTGAATAAAAATGAAACATCTGACCCATGTGCGCAGCAGTTTCTTGGGATAGTTTTCTGTCCCAGAGTTCTCAGGTGACCTGGCTCAGGCAGGGACCTTCAGAGTAACACAGCAAAGCTGTCACTGCCTGCCCATCACGTCTCCCTTGGCTGTGGTCCAGGGGAGCTCCAGAAAGCTACATACCCTGGAGAGAGTCCCCATGTCTCCCTCCTTGCTGCACTCAGAGCTTTCCCATCACTATGCTAAGCTCATTATAGCAAATATCTTTCTCATGTTATTCAAGAAGGTAAGGAGGCCCTGATCATTAATAATTTCTGTCTAATTCCCACCTGACTGTGTATTCCTCCTTTTCTCCCCCATCTCCTTAATGACTAATGGTAACTAAAATTCCCTTTACCTTCAGCCTCTTGCAGAATTTTTCTCATTCACTTTCTGGACCTTAAACTTGCTCCTTCCCTGAAGACACTGCCTATCCTGCAGATGTGACAAATGGGAGCTACCTTGTCCCTCCCACACACTGCTCCAGATTGCAGAGACATTTTTTCCAATTTGTTTCACTTTGATACTTACTATCCATTTTCCCAGTCTCTTCCCTGAGAATTCCCTGAGACTCTCATACCAAAATCCTTCATGCTTCCCCCCAAAAAACCTTACATTCCTTATCCCCGTGCTTGCTGAAATCATCTACCAACTCCTCAATCTCTCTCACTAATTTAATGACAGTTTTAATACCTGGTTTGAAGCCTATCTCTAAAAAATACTGCTCTTTTCATAATTATTGGTGACTTCTATGACCTTGAAGAGAAATCTTCGAATACACTGACTTCTTGGTTTTATTTGACCTTCTCTTCTCCCAAGATCTTTGCCTCAACTCATTCCTATAAACATGCCCTCACTTTGACACACCAACAACTGGAACCCTCCATAAAATCTGTCTCAAAGATTGAATCATCCGTATCCTGATGCAACCATGCTTCCCTGACTGGAATCTATAATCCCTACATTGATTTTTCCAGATATTCCAACATTCCTTTTCTTTCTCATATCCTCATTTCCCTTTATATATGCATTAAGTTTCATGGTCATAATTCCTGTCATGTATCTTCAAGTCATTTTCATTTTCTTGTACCTTTTTAATTGCTTGACAAACCATAACCTTGATTGTTTCCAACTCTTCGACTTCTCTGCTCATGTCCCCATGGAGCTGAGTGCACCTGAAGAAAAACCCTGATCTACGTTGACTTTAAATTTATGTCATGACGTTCAAGTGTACCTTTTATTTGCCTTAGAATCACACTGTATTTTCCTAGTCAACATTATCTTGCTTTCGGCATGACTATTTTGTACCTTCTCCTTTCTCTATAAAACTAACATATCTCTCCTCTCCCCATATTCAGCTGTTGACCTGTTTCACTGAGACACATGAAGAAGAAGCCTTCCAAAAGTCCTCTACTCTATCTACCAGTAGTACCAGTCCCACAAACTCTGCCTTAATGTGTTTCCCGTGCACCACCTAAGGCCAACTTCCACTTGCACATCCAACTGCCCCTCTTTCTTGTGTTTACAAGGATATAAATTTTTCCTTTGCTCATGACTTATCACTGATAGATCCTCAGAAAATGGGAAGGAGAACTAGAGATGGACAGAGGGGTGAGAGAAGGGAGGACAAGGGGAAGTAAAAGGATCTAAAATGTGCTATAAACAGGTACCAACCCCAGAATGAATGTAATAATTATGTATAGCAGAAATGTACTAATAAACATAAAAATAAAAAAGACTCCCTACTAAACATTCCCATTAGTACATGTGTTCTATGACTTTATCTTCAAAAATCCTTCTTTTAATTCTAATCCTCTTCTGCCCTGTTTCTTTTTTACTTTTCTAGGGAAAAAATCACCTTTGTTGAAGGCTTACTTATAATTATTGTTTTCAATTTCCTCACATTTGATCTCGAGCACATTCTAATTAGGTTTTCTTCCTCTACTTTTTACCTCAACTACTCTTGCACACATTATAAATTATGCCTCAATGCTGCATATAATCATCCTCACCTCCACAGAATTGATAGCAACCCTTGTGAGAGCTGATCATTCCCTTCTCTTAGAAATTCTCACCAGGCCACTAACCTTTGCAGCTTTTCTTCTAACTCACTGACTACTCTATTTGACCTCTTTTTTCTAAACCTTTTCTATATCCTTGGCTTCTTAATTCAAACATCTCAAAATTCAACCATGGCAATTTGGTGATTTTGGCTGTTTCCATGTCTTCAAGACCACTTATATGTTGATAATTACAAAACATTTATCTCTGGCCAGGACCTTCTTCTGAAGTCTAGATTTGTCCAATGCCTGATCACTGTCTCCCCATATTTATGTAACAAATATGGTAAGCTTAACATTTTCCCAACTGATCTCCTCATCTTATCTTCCCGAAAGTCTCCTCCTGGAATGTTCCCATCTCAGGGAATTATAATTCCATCCTACCAGTTACACAAACCCACAACATACTAGCATCATTCTTGACTCCTCCTTTACTAATTCATATTATTTACTAATTTCAAAATATGTCTAGAATCTGAATATTTATCACCACTGCAGGTATCACATTTGTCCTGAATTACTGTAGTGTTCTCCAGCTTACGCCTCAACTTTTCTCCTTCCCATTCACCACCCCTTTTCACTAAAGTCTCTCCTTCTTATACATGTCAACACAACAGCCAGACCCACCTTGTTGAAACAGGTCACATCCAATAACTGCTGTGCTTAAATTCTGCAATAGTTTCCCCCATCAAAAAGCATAGAATCCAAAGAATGACCACAAGGTCCTGTAAGAAACACATCCTATACTTGGGGATCTTTGTATTTTGTTTCTGTCTAGAATCTTCTCCAGGTGTCTACATAGCTCATCTCTGACCATTGTCCATGACCCATATAAGCGACACTTGAGCCGAAATTTATTCCCTCTGACGCCCATCCAAGTTTTCTATTACTATATTTTCCTCTCATTACCCATCAGACTATCAATTTTGCTCTATTTTGCTTATTGTCACTTTTCCCTTGCCTCATAGACCAGAAGTTTACAGTGCAGTGTAAACTCCAGAAGGGCTAGTATAGGTCCACACCTGTTTAATTTAATGCTGCATTTTCCTACTAAATCATTTCTTCCAGAAAACAGGCATCCTGCATATTCCATGTATATCCCCATCATTTTTCTATCTCAGAGCCTGTGCACTTTTTCTTCCCTCTCCTGGGAACACTTTGTGTCCAGAGTTCCATCCACTTTTTACTTCAATTATTTTTCTGCCCAATCATTACTGTCTCGCAGATGCTGACCCATTTACAAATATAATGTTTATAAGTCTCTACTTGCCTTAGTTCCACTCTCAGTATCTC